AGAATTTCTGTTTCCTTGTTTTAACTCGGTGAAAATTCATTTACAGGAATCTCGCTATAAAGATTCAACATGCGCGTGAGCGTCGACTGGAAACTAAATTGTCGTCGTCTCCGAGGATGGGTTACATATATAATTAAATATATTTTTTAATTGACTACGTATGCATGTTGCATTTCTTGTTGGTGTGTTCAAACGTGGATCGTCGCAGCGAACAATGAAATAATTTTATATGCCGCACTCTCGAAAGACTTCAATCGAATCAATAATACACCGCAACAAGTCACTAAAAGATTCAACAGCTGCTACAAGGTTTGAGGATCCATCGTTTTCTCCTTTCGGCGCGGCAGCGAAAAAAGAGGCGCACAATGTAAGAAAAAAACGAAAGGAGAGTCTGTCGAGTGCTTCGCGGTCCATTGAAGAAGAAAAGAGAAAAGGAGGCACAGAGTTAACTCGTTCGCTGCACACTCGAAAAAGAAGTAGGTGAATAACGCCTTTGATCCCTCGAGATGAATGAACTATGTACGTGTGTATCGGCAGAAACGAAGTGTGATAATTTCAATTATCAACTTTATATAATGAAAAGCTTTTGTATGTTAGGCAAACCATTCCAAGTTTCAAATTTGTTCTTCAAGATATAATTTTTCTAAACTGAAAACTCACTTGCTAGATCCAATTAGTTTCACTTTCTCATGCGGAATTCCGTTCGATAGCCAAATCAATCCCGGAAAAGCAAAAAAGATAAAGGTAAAGGAAAGAATCCGCCTAAAACACTTTTATCTAAGAATGAAGAAATGATGACCGCGAAGAAATGACTCTTGTCGATATATTTGTCAAAGTAACACAAAGAAAGCTCGAACGCACCTGGAGTCCCTGAGTTATAGCTGCGATCGCCTTTGGCCGAGGTAAGTATGTAAACAGGACTGTCCTCGGTGCCACTATCGTCCTGCTGTGATTGCGCCTGTTGGTCATCACTAGCGTAAGCTTGGTTCGGCGGCTCATCGCTATATCTCCCCGACGCCGACGACGAACTTGACGAACTTGCCGCTTGATGCTGCTGTTGCTTCCTTAGGCTTATGACACTCTCATCGCTCGCTATTGCTGCCGTCGTCGTTGTCGTCGACGATGCCTGCTGATCTGCTAAGCTTGACTGACGACGGGACAGGGATTTCTTGCGACCGTTCGTACGCTTTCTACACCTATTTGGATAACAGAAGAAAAGTGCTCTTTTCGTAAAGCTCGCAACGTTCGAGTGAACCAACGAGTGGCTGGTGTGCAAAGATATCGCCGTGAAACTGTTTTCATCTGAAAGCTCTGGTTTGCTCCGTTGATGGAAGATCAATAATCTTTATTTGTCGAAAAAAACTCGGAACGGTGCATGATCTTGAATGCAAATCAGTTTTTTCTCGGAAACCCCTTAATTAAGACGTAGAAGAGTTTATTTTAATTTTTACAAAGTTTATAGTTCCCTTACGATGCACCAAAGACGCGCTTAATTAACCGCATGCACTTTGTATCGATTAGCTACTTTTTAATTAACTTTCTGCACGCATATTTAATATTACTGCACGGCGAATGAAAGATTAAAAAAGGATAATCGATAGACGTGTAGAACAAATGCTTCCAATAAGTCGAAAGAGAACAGACCCATTCTCATTATCTTCGGTCGCGCGACCTTTTTATTTTATGGCAAAGTCGAGGAAAACAATTGTTTTAGGGTGGCCGGAGAAACGTTCTGATTATTGAATTGAAAATAAAAAATGTTCTTTTCGTCGAACTGCACAATTAATTTTTTTTGTGTCCCCGACCATTCGTGCCGTTGATTATTTGGAGTCAATATACTTTAAGTGACTTTAGCAGATGCAACTTTCTATCCCATTTCGCTGGAATCTTTTGCAGACTCTTATCAGTTTAAAAGGTGCACACAGTGAAAACATCCGCACTCAAAGTCAAACGATTCCAATAAAGACAGCAGCACGGAAAGGAAAACTGCACGCCGTATACGTAAAGCCCTCCACGTTGGAAACCCCTTCAATCTCTCACCGATGTTCATAATTACACAGCAGAAGAGCAAAAAAAAAACCATCTTCAAAGCTGAAGCGCGGTTGACCTATTTTTTTCATTAAAATTCACATTCGAACCGAAAAATCCATGCCCGCGAAATAGATTCTTCTACAATTTACGAAACGTCGCATAGTTTTTCGACAAGACGACGTTCAGCTTCGGATCTCGTATTTGAAATACATACCGAAGAGATGATCTCTCTGTATCTGTCTGTATATAGGAAAACTGTAATACAGAGTGATATTCCGATCCCAAGAGAAAACGTCGTCTCGGCAGAGAAAAAAAAACATTTAACTTTACCTTTCAGAGGTGTCGCGTTCGAGTTCGAGCATATCGTCGTTGGTATGATTGGCGGACGATGATAATGATGATGATGATGAAGCGTTATTGTTGTTGTTTTCGCCGCCTGCGCCTGGACTGCTGCAGTTCAGCTTAGGCCGGCATTTCGGAAACAGAAGATTCAGGTCAGCGTTCTCCAAAATCAGGCCTGTCATCGCCACTTGTTCATCTTTTCCGCCACCGTTGTCGTTATCACAACTCCGAAATGATACTGTTGAACGACGATGATGTTAATTGCCATCGTTCAAATCTTTCAACACGCCAGCGCTGCAATGGAAAACATAAAAAACGATCGTTAGAGATTGGACATTCGATTCTTTATGTGTGGTTCGTGCCTTGTTGCCGGATTATGCATTGGGATATCGAGTAGGGTCGTTGACTCTCGTAAAAATGTGAAGCTATGCTCAGACATCCGAACGAAAAAAAAAGAAAAAAACGCCGTCGACCTCATCAGTAGCGAGCTTTGTAAATCTTTGCCGAGGCAATCGATATTTCGTGCGTCCAATCCTCTCCACCTTTCATCTCGAAGCATGACAGCGAGTCCATTGTTGCGAGAGCAGCCTAAACTGCATTTCTATTCCACTCGGGACGATGCGTGTGTTTATCCAATTACCGCAGGTCGATCACAGACGATTATAGCGAGTGGCACGGCGACTAAAAATAATCCGACCTGCCATCCTGCGACCGAGCCACGGCGATACTGCCACCTGTTCGCAAAGTTTAAGCCCACCACGTCGACTGACTATTGTACAGAATTATCGATTGCTTCGTCGCCAGGAAATTGAGATATAAGCGACGTCAACGCCAAGTTTTGGCCCTGCCATACATATGGATGTTATGTAGATAGCGACGACGCGAGGGACGCATAATCTGCCAGTGATCGGATGGCAAATATCACTCTCTCTCTCTCTCTCTCTCTCTCTCTCTCTCTGTACGTGCAGGCTTTAATACGACTCAAACTACTCTGAGGGGATCCTCGAGTCGAGAGAGAACTGGTAATCGTCCGTTTTATTTGATCTGTTATATAACGGGAAATTTAATATACAAGCGTAGCCAGTAATGTGGGATCTTCGGGTAAAGTCTGAGCGTAGACACACTTGTTCAGCTTGAAATGCATCGCGTAATAGACGATGAATTGCCGAATTTTACACGTGGCTGCGCGTCGTTAATTTCGTGAATTGACACACTAGCCTAGCTACCCAGCTCCGCGCGCCCGAGTTTTTCCCTTAACGATACACAGCTCGACATCGCGAGCAAACAGCCAAAGCCGTCAGGCGCGGACGCAGCCAACTGAAATACACCGACGAGTGAGTCGACGTGTTTTTCTTTTGCGCTAAAAGCTCGTGGCGGCGCCGGAGTACTTCAAGCAGTCGACTCCGACTTCGCTTCGCACACTTGCCAGTGCGCCGGCACTCTGACGCTGCTCGCGAAGAGATCTCAACGGGCCGGGGGGAGGGGACGTTTGTTTGTCGAAGTCGACCCGCCTTCTCTTTACTTAATTCATTAGCGACGGTTTCGCGATAAGATTGCGATGATTTATGTGGGTCGTTGATGGGCGAAGGGAGTGGTGAACGATTCTCTCGCGTCTCCGAAGCGTATAAAGAGTTATTTTCAATTACTCCGCGCGCCCAAGCATATTTCAGCTGCAGTATTGGAAAATTATCCCATTGCGCCGACACGGATCTTCGTTCTTGTAGTCGTACGTAAGCGCGACGCGCGCGCGGCCCGTGCCTCGCCGGGGGGAAAACGGCTCCACGAGCTCTTTTCATAGCCCGCGACAATAGGACAATTAAACGACGGCGCGGTCCTCGAATAACGTTACTCGGCCCTTGGGGTCCCGCGGAATTAGCCGACATTTCCAAAAGTGATGCAGCGCTGCCCGTGATAATCCGATATCCGCTCGGCTGATGGGCACTTCGTGCCCTCGGCATGATTGATTGGAAAGTAAAAAGCCGCGGGAGGCGTTGATGACGAACAAAAAGAAAAAAAAAAAGGAATTGCGAAAAATGAAGACGTCGAGCGAGGGAATTGTGTGTGCGATGCCACTGACCCCCTATTGATTGCGAGCTTCGCCCTCCCCACGAGCTGTCGCTGGCTGAAGCGCGCGGCTGGCGGAATCAAGTATTGCCACCTTGTGTGCCCGCGCGACGCCAAGCAGCGCCCCTCCCTCATGTATACTCGTCGTAGTGACCTTTAGCCGCGTGCTTCTTGCGTGCGCACGGGCTGTCTTGCTCTCATTTCTTTTTTTGACCCCCCCCCCCCTCCTCGCCCTTTGCTCGATTGCCTTTTACATTAATTCGCGTTTCCGAGGTTGCACTCTCGACCGAAGCTCGTCCCGAGAACACCCGACTGGATATCATTGCGACCCCGCGATTTCGACAGGAGGAACACAACTGTAAACTGCGCGTTCCCATTCCTTGGAATCAGCGCGGTTTTCCGCTCGCAATCGAAAAATCGCGTCGTTCGCCGTCGCTTATCCAAGCGCGCATCGAGATTCGTTCCGCGATTACGCACATATACACTTTACATGCCCGTACCAATTTCCGATAATTTCGAGAAAAATAATCGCTCTCCCATTGGTCCGATCTCGTCAACAATAGACACGCATTATCGTTAATTACCTTCACACAAAGCACCCGGTGCCGCGCTATCACTTCAAAGCGATCAGTATGTCAATGACTCGTCCTCGTTTTTTTTTTTCTCTCGCCCCTCGCCGATCAAACTAGGAGACAATCGTACGCACGTGCACACACTACGCACACACGAAGAAAAGTGTCAACCCCTTTTACGCGCGTAGGTCATTTGCTGGCGTGATTAGCGGAAAGCTTTCCGTGTATGTTTGGCCAATCAATCAAATCGCTTAGTGTGCGCAAGCATACAAATGCACGGAGGACAATACGTTGGGGAACCCTTCGACACCTTTTTCTACGCACACCGATCGCCGCTGGGAATCGAGATTCGAGTATGTGTGCGAAACACGCAAGCCAAATGAATCCCCGAATCCACGTAATCTCGTTTAAAAACTAATTCTGCCGAGGATTTATCCACCTGCGTACGTATGTATGCGTGTGCGCCGGATGGTTTGACTTTGCAAAGTCCGAGAGCCTACTAATGGACGTTGCGAGGTTATGTTGTGCTTCTCGGTGAAGGACTGAACTTTGTTTTCACGAGAAACAATCTTCCGGCGATTGGGAAACGGAGGGTGAATTTTTTCTTTTCTCTTTTGAATTTTTAATTGTCCGTCCTCTTGTTACATCCTGTGCGGGAAAAATACCATCAAACTCATCTTCAAACTAAAACAATTTACTTTTGTAGTTGAAACAAAAGTGTACGTCTTTATGAAATTGTCTTGAAATTATACGTCGAAGGCAACATTGTCATTCTTGTATAACGCTTCCTCTGCGAAAAACTCGCGCGGACGTTACCATTCCATTCAGGCGGATATTTTTAATTGCAAGCGTACATGGCTTTGAAAAAGCGCCAAGAGAGCAACTTTGATGCTCGGTCTCACTGATATTAATTCACCGCATGCAGAAAGAAGAACGTCATTTTCAATATCGCATACACATCAAAAAGTCCAAACTAATCCCTTCAACGACGGGCAAATCGACGTCTCAATGCGGTCGAAAAGCAAGGAGGGAAAATGGATGTACCGATCGCATACTTCTTCCTCGGCGTAGAGAGTCGCCATTGTCGATGCCAGCCGTATGCAACTCGGCGACCCATAGCCGTTTATTCTTCCAGCCGGGCGTTCGATGCGAGAGGAAATGCCGGCAGACGTGCAATTGGGGGAAAACCAAGCGTGCAGTCGTTGCTCATTTGGTTTGTTTTACGACCAATGTCGTCTCGGCGATCATGCCCCCATTTTTTTTCTTGTTCCACGGTGGCATTTCTCTTGATAGACATCTGCACTTGCGAGTGTCATCGGCCGATTGCCATCCGCAAGCTCGATGATCTAGGCGAAATCGCCATCGATGCGTTCTTGCATTTAAAAAAAAGTAAACTGCCGCCGCCGCCGCTCGATATTACATGTGGCGCCATCATCTCTACCCTTCCACTTCTCCCATTTGACTGCAGCCTAGTAAATCGAAAGAGAGAGAGAGAGAGAGAGAGAGAAGAGAGAGAGAGAGAGAGAGAGAGAGAGAAAGAGAGAGAGAGAGAGAGAGAGAGAGAGAGAGAGAGAGAGAGAGAGAGAGAGAGAGAGAGAGAGAGAGAGAGACAAAGCACAAGTTTTAGTCGCATGCGCGTGTGGAAAAATCAAGTTAGCCGGATGCCCCCTTGCGTTCGCGCTTGACTCTGATTGGAGGTGCGTTTTTTTTGTTTTTTTCGCCGCCGCCTCCATCCCTGATTTGAAATTCATTTGCGCACGTACCTCGCGCGAGATCTAATTTTTTTCCGTTTGTTTGGCTTTCATTCGTCGCGAATCACACGCCCGAGGTGTCGTTCCGCGCGAGGTTTGCGGCGTTGCCTTTTAATCTGCCGTGAGCACATGGCTAATCAGGAGCGACGTCACGATGCAGAAAAAAAAAGAATCGATCGCCATTTCATATGTTTTCGCTGCGAATATGCGTCAGTCATGCTCGCACGACAGAAGCAAAAATAGCTAATTTATTTGTCGTGCGCATCCCTAGTTAACCTATTAATGTCGAGCTTGTCTGTTTGATAATAATATTTGTTTCTACGTTGCTCTCTCTCTCGCTCTCTCTCCTTCTCTCTCTCTCTCTCTCTCTCCCTCTCTCTCCCTCTCTCTCTCTCTCTCCCTCTCTCTCCCTCTCTCTCCCTCTCTCTCTCTCTCTCTCGTATGCGATACAACATTTCGAAAGCCGCGGTGCATATCAAAAACGATAAATTTTGCTGGCTAGCGGGCGCTAACGCGAAAGATGATTAGCCGCGTGTCGTCCCCAAAGTCACAATTGACCGAGAGAGAGACAGAGCGAAGCGGACATGTGTGCGTGGTTCGCCACCTTTTGCGTTCAATTACGCAATCTGTAAATTGTACGAGCCCGACACACGCGCGAGCGTGTGTATATAAACTTTCAGCGCACCATGGCTTCGTGTATAGAATACGAAACGTTTCAAAAAAAATGCAAGGAAATGATACGTGGCTTTAAAAAGAAGCCCCTCTCTCTACAGTAACTTCGGTTTCCAAAAGCAAATCATCGTGATACCAATACTTCTGAAATTGAACGTCGTTGTTGAAAGATGCGATGAGGAAAATTATATTTTTTATATAATGGTGGTTCGCCTTTGTCCTTAAACTATAAGTCCAGTCATGATGCATGTGGCGCCCTCATCGAATAAAAACCTACTTCCGCACCCTTCCACAAGTGGTGATGGAGATAGGACTACATATTAATGACTGCAAGGGACAAAGATTAATGCCTGCAGCGTTGCACGTGAACGTAGTTCTTGAATTAACAATGATCATAATAATATCTAAAAGGAACGGTGGATAGACGAGTTTGCATGGTACCAAAAAAACTCTCTCTCTCTCTCTCTCTCTCGACCTGTAATTTGTTTTCAACAATATTTTTTCAATCACAGATAGAGAAGCGAAAACTATTTCAGTCACGTTAGAGAAAGAGGGTATAAGTTTCAGTTTTCGGAAAACGTGAAATGCGACTTTTGTATTTTTCAAACGCGCCGCGCGTCTTCGTGCATCAACGAATTCGTAAGCATTTGACTTTTATAATAGTATAATTTTAACAATACAATACAAATCTCACAATTCGATTCTGATTCGAACGGTAATATCTGAAAGATTGAATTTCCTGTTTTTAAACCACGGATAATGTCGCTTGAAAAGATTGTCCTTTTATTAATTCAAATCCAAGCCTGCGAATAAGCTTCTTTCTTCAGCGAAAATCATTAAGTGGTATTTCTAGCCAAGGTGAATTCGCAATTTCAGCTAAACCTCCCCCCTCTCTCGCCAGTCGGCGCCGGCCTATTGTTGTGCTCAAATAAACGTTTCGCCCTATCTCCACCGATTAAAGCTCACGTAGTCTCGCTATCTTGTGCGATTGCGACCAGAAACCCGCAGAAACAGAGAGATTTTACTCGTCCGACCGAAAATTGGTCCAATGTCATAGCTCACTGGCCCTTTTTTCGCGCTAGGCTCCGCCGTGTTTCCGTCTCGTTTCAGCCAGTCGTCTTCCGCGCACTCACGTATCTGCCGACAGAACGCGTCCCGCGAAGCGGCGGCCGGCCAACGCTGCGCGTATAACGTTCGATCGGCGCGCGCGTGATTCTTGCGCTTTCGTCCCCGCCGCGTTCCCACGATCAATCGCTCGCCACCGTCTCGAGCTCCAAGCTACCTGCGCGACTTTGCAACGTGCGCGCGAGGCCTCGTTTCTCTTTTCCCGTAATACGATAGTGAGTAGATGACGGCGCGGTTGATAAGCGGCGGCTCTCCCACTTTAGCAGCTCGTGCCATCTGGGTGGGCGCTCCACGGATTAGAGTGTCGCCGAGTTTGCTTTAGGGCGAGCAAACGCCGATCGCTCGCCGGCACTGTTTCATCTTTACGTCGCTTATTTTTTCAAGCTCAAGGCATCTTTCGTCCGCGCTTTCCATGAGTATTCGTCGCGAACACTCACTCGCGGGCGTTCGATTGGATAGTGACGATCGATGGAAGCTCTTTTAAGTAGTGTCGGTCAACGATATCCGAGCCGCGGGACGCACCTAATCTCGAAGGAACGCGTCGGCAGCTCCCGCCCGATATTGTTCACCTCCACGTCACGCAAACAAGCTCGTATCTCAGTCTCTCGCTCTCTCTCTCTCTCTCTCTCTCTCTCTTTCTCTCTCTCATTCTCACAAAGACCATCGCCCATAGACAACGGACAGGCCTAAGCAGCAAAAAAAACAAATCTCATGGCCCTCGTTTCGAGATTGCGCGTACGCCCATCGGGTGAATCATTAGCAGCACGCCATACGTACAGTGTGACTCACGCAAATACTTTCTTCCGTTAAAACGGCGCGCGATGGTGTCTAGCCTCGTACAGCTTGTTGTAGCTAAGAGGGAGAGCCGATCGATATGGGTTTCAGCTGTGTCTCTCTCTCTCTCTCTCTCTCTCTCTCTCTCTCTCTCTCTCTCGAGCGCTGGGATTCGCGCGCACAACGTCGCTCGCCTACTGCACACAAGCACTAGACGGAACAATTCTTTTTTTTTCTCGCCGTCGTGTCGTGCAGGTATACACTCCGTAGAGATAGAGAGACACAGAGAGTGAGGCTTTAAGTGGTCGAGCGGGGATTCGCGCATTCAGGATTAAACGCCCTGACAGAGGATGCTGCCCTTTTCTTTTTCTACCAGCGGTGTGATCGAGATTGTCGCTCGGGTACGTGAAAATCGAGGACGAGTTCTTACGTGAATTATTCGCGCCTTGCGAATTCTACGAGACTGCGCGGAGCCTGTCGGTGGGCAAGACGAGAACGAGAGCGTTGCACGCCGAGTTTTACGGAGCCGGATCTTTTCCCATTGTTGTTTTCTTCGAGCGGGCAATTACAACTTTCCTTGGCTGGTCTTCGAGGCTCAGATGTATTGTTGTACGAAAATTTTGGGCGCAAACAAACTGGGGAGCGGCTTGGTCTCGCGCACGCATTTGAAAAAAAGAGAAAATATCTTTCGCCGAGGCAGGGATGATCAAAGAGTTTCACGTGCTCCCGGACACTTAGCGAAAGTTAGCGCCTCCCCCATACAACCCGAAGTTGCAGCAAGTGTGTTCGTTCGGATTTTTGTGCGGGCGATGCTTCATTAAGGATCGAGTTTCGCAGGGGAGAGATTAGCGGAAAGTTACACCCCTCGTTGCTTATTCACGCTAGCACTTCAAAAGACCCCCACGCCTCTCTTCTTTTTCCTCGTGATGTATTCGCGTGAAATTTCTATCGTTGCGTTAGCACGAAAAAATACGATTTGCTTTTTATTTTGTACGTTGCTGGCCGGCGATGCCCGATACTCTCGTTTTAGTCGGAAATTGATTTTTTTTTATAGTCGATCAGGTTCGAACGATTCAAATGTGACTCGCTTCGAGCTTTTCACTACAGTGTTGTGATTGTCATTCGATATACCAACTCGATCGTAAAAGGAACAAATATCTAAGCATGCGAAAACCAGTCGAGTAACATTTAGCTTTTACAACATTAAGCTGACATCAAGTATAAAAAGTCACGAGAAAAATAATAATAAGCAATAGAGTTGACGCCAGACATCTGCCCATAAAGTAGCAAATCGATCGTTTGCTCTCGCGCTCATTATTAATGGATGATCGGTGTCGACGATGTAACGAGTTTTCCTTTCTACTTTTTTTTTCGCTACCGCGAGTTTAACACGCCTGCGCAACTTAATTATCGGGCGCTTTTATACTCTAGCACTTTCCGTATATTGGACACATCGTGCGCAAACTTTTTTTTTCTTTTTTTTATTGCTCGATGTTGTCTCGTTTTGCGAATTTGCCGCGGAACACTGTCCGCTGCTTTAAGCGCAAACCCCGCTCGGCGCATAATTACGGAAATTCCAGTGCGAGGCGATCTCGCGCAGGGCAAACAAGCTCCGCGTAGGCTTGGATTTAATGAGATGCAAAGGAAAAGAGAGGAACCGAAAAGTCCGGATAAAGAAGCGCGTGCCCGCGCGACAATAGAGGCGCAGCGGCGTAGGGAAACGCGAAAGCTTCAAGCCGCACAATTCGCACCTGTCTCGTCTCGAGAGTGCTTTTCTTCCGTCACGACGAGCGTGAGAATCTTCCGCGCGCACACGCACGTTGCGCGCAATGAATCTCGGCGTGCATTGTTCGCGAGAACGCGTTTTATTTCAAAATCGCGTAGCTCGCCACGCGAAATACGCCTTTACAAGCTCGCGCTCAATGTAGAAATGTGTAACGTCCTGACCGACTTGAGAAACTTTGACTTTAATCGCGCTCCAACTACTATATCGATGCAAACATTTTCGTCAAGCAAAGCAAAAAAAAAGATAAAAGTAATCGATCGATCGCCCTCGTGACTCATCGCCTCTTCTTCCTAAGAGAAAGAAGAAAAATATCAGAACCGAAAACATTTGAGAACAGAGAGAGAGGGATAACTCCCGAAATGCAAAACATCGGCAGGTGAAAAAAAGTAATAGAAGTGTCGTAAAAACTAGGACAGAGTCCTTGAGGTCGTGTCGCGTTGCCGTCCCCGTGGCGTATGGAGATACACACAGGTACCCCTAGTGCTTGTGCGCTGCTGTCGCGCCGATCGATCCAACAGCGGGAGAGAGATAAAGATAAAGAGAGAAAGAGAGAGAAAGAGAGAGAGAGAGAGAGAGAGTGACGGTTCGCGCTGTGGCGTTAAAAAGAAGAAGCTTTTATATTTGTACCTCATCTCCGTCGTCGATGCATCCTTGTTTTTGTCTTCGCGCGTCACTTCGCGGCGCAACAAACCAAACCAACTAACAGACAATTTTACGCATAGTCTGTTTTCAGGATCGTTGGTAGACAATATATACCGTGCAGCAGAAATGGGAAGTGAAAACGAAACGATTCGACAGATTGCTGTCGATGAAAAATACTATAAGACGAGGCGAGGAGCACGGCTCGATCGCGACTACTGCTGCTGGAAGTAATTTTACTGCTTGCTTGCTCGCTGCTGGGTGAGACACGACGAGGGCGACATCTGCAAGGCCAACCCCCTTTAGGCGAAAGGGGGTACGTCGATATTGCGGTTGTTCAGCTTTCGAGTTTCGAGATTCTTGTCGCTTCATTGCGAGGGTGCGTTCAGTTTAAAATGCGACCACGGGACCAGCTTGTTGCATTTCATCAAATTCACTTTTTCAAGTGTCGTTGACAATGGAAAATCGCAATAATGCTAATGCGGGAAGAAATACAAAAATAATCAACCAAGTATTTATTTATTTATTTATTAGCAAGACAACGGAATAGCAGCTCATTTAATTTAATAAATGTGTGTGTGTGTGTGTGTGTGTGTGTGTGTGTGTGTGTGTGTGTGTGTGTGTGTGTGTGTGTGTGTGTGTTTCAACGAGATATATTACGCAGCTGAAGCTTCGATCAAGCGCCAAGTGGCGGCGCAGCATCAGCAAATGACTGTAAGCAGCTACAATTTCTGCTCAAAATTTTCGTGTATGTGTACATACATAGATATATATAATATATACTATAGTTTTCGTCTTCTCCACACACTTCATATGGCCGTAAGCGCTTGCGGTTTCCTTGTAATCGATTTTTTAAATTAACTGGTTTTCTCACAGTCGTGACGTTGAACTTTCAAAGCTTTTCTTCATACCAAGAAAATTATTGCAGTATCTCTGTGTTTAGTGATAATGAAAAAGTGTAAATACTATGCTATAAATAGATGTGTCCATTTAAGTACATTGTAGCCGGTCGCACGAGATACAATGGTAGATGACGCGAGCGAAGTTATCTGATTCATCGATTTTCGTACGCTTAGAGATCAGATATCTTTTTCGGCGGGATTAAATGAAAAAGGAGGATGCATTTGAAAAGTGCGATTAAAGTTCAAATTTACTCTGACGTTTTGTTTTCGAATCCATCGTAATTTAATTGATCTTTCTTTTCTTCAGTTTTCACAGGATAGGAAAGTCGGTGCACCAAAGTTAATCGTTATACCAATCAAACAAATATGAATAACATAAGAGCAAGTCTGTCGCATAAAATCCAATCAGCTGGCAGGCTCCAGGAAATCACATTGAAATTCAGTAGATTAGAAAGCGACGAGCTGCGAGTATTGACGGTCCTGAGAATCATGGAGCTGTTCGATACAATACCACCGTCTACATGTAAAACGAAGGATACAAAAGATTCCATTGATTTGAGAAACAAAGCGAACAAACTATTCGTATGCAACAGCGAACCGATAAAAACGTGGGAACTGTATTCGAAAAGTATCGCCACTGCATTGAACGATTCGCAGGAATTGTCGTTAGCCTACGCCAACAGGTCGGCAGTGTTGATAAAACTGCTCAAATACGACGAGTGTCTGCAGGATATCGAGAGAGCCTTGAGATTAGATTATCCAGACCGCTTGAGAGGAAAATTGCTGTGCAGGAAAATCGAGTGCCTGAAGATGTCGAACAAAACGGATTTGTTGAGCGATACACTGGACGCACTTGAAAACTGGCTGGAGCGCACATCTCTGAGCAGCAATGATAAGCAGACGTTCGAGCGGAAATTGAAAGATTGGAATAATGAAAAGAGCACCGAGCGCAGGCTTGCGAGAGCCGAGGACGTCCCGCTAACGATCATACCGAACGAACAAATCCCATGCGCCTCGGAGGCGTTGAAGGTGAGGTGTAACGACGAATTCGGCCGACACGTCGTGGCGACGCGAGACATAGAGCCCGGCGAGATTCTCATCGTGGAAAAGCCGTACTCGAAGATTCTCTCACTCAACGAAGCTTACACCCATTGCTCGAATTGCCTGCAAGTCCATTGGGCGATGATTCCATGCGAGTTTTGTATCTACGCAATGTATTGCTCGGAGGATTGCAAGAGAGAGGCTTGGTCGAGGCACCACGATATCGAATGCCCGGTCACCGGTTACCTCGTCGATTTGGGCTCCGGTGAGCGAGAGTTGTTCAGCATGAGATTGACAATCGCCGCGTGGAGAGATGCCGGCTGCGTCGACAACTTGAGAGAGAGCTTGAAAGGTATGCACAATCGTAATTGTGAATCGTTCAAAATAACAATAAACATTCCTTCTTTCGTTGCGTAGCTAAGAGCAATTTTTCCGTCGGCACATTGTATCTCAGCGATAGCTACGCCAATATTTACAATCTCGTAACGTGCGTCGAGAAGCGCAACGTAGCTGACTTATTCGACAGATCCCTAATGGCAGCTTTCATTCTTTACTACTTGTGCACACTGACAGATCTGTTCGGGAAGAAGCTCAATGCCGACATCAAAGACATCTACATGAACGACGGGGCTACGTTCATCGGTGGACTTATTTTACGTCACATGCAGATCATTCCATGCAACATACACAGCGCAAGTATATTTCTTTCTGTCCAACAGCAACTCACCAAAACATTCTCTCTCTCTCTCTCTCTCTCTCTCTCTCTCTCTCTCTCTCTCTCTCTCTCTCTCTCTGATCGATAGTTATATGCGTACAGTACGAGGAAGAGCGTCACATTGAAATAGTCGACATTGGTTCTGTAGCCTTGCCTTTCTGCAGCCTCATAAATCACAGCTGCGATCCGAATGTATCCAGATGCATGACACCGAATAGCATGATTGTTTTCGCCCTTGTGCCGATAAAACAAGGCTCGCAAGTAAGTCTATTGTTACTCCTATTTCCTACCTAAACAAGCGACCGATTGTAATTGTTCGCAGATTTACGATAATTACGGCAGTCATTACGCGGTGATGAGTAAATCTGAGAGGAAAAGCACATTAAAGCAGTATTACTTCGATTGCAATTGCGAGCCGTGTAAACATGATTGGCCTGTTTACAAATGTTTGCCGTCTTATAAGGTGAATTGGTTGATTGACAAATTTGAGATTTTGTTATAATTGACGTTTCTTTTTAGCAATCGGTAAAAGATAAGGAAAAAATAGGCCAGATCGAAAATACTGTTGAGATATTGGATACTTACGTGCAATACGTCAAAGATGATCAAATAGACGATAAACTTCGTATGATAAACGACCTAGCGAAGATAATCAATACGTTGACGAGACTTTTAACTTTACCTTGTGCTGAAGTTAATATTGCCGTTGAAACTCTGAAAAGAGTTATTACACTGACGTATGGGAATAAGTTTGAAATTCCGAAATGATTACGATTTGCAATAAAAAACTTTAACTTTTACAAAATTCAACTTCTTCATCAGATCCTTTCTTAATCACTTGGCGTAACACACACGTGTCAAACTTTCATGCATCGCCTCCTTTTTCTCTTTCAAAGAAGTGCAAAGTTCGATGCACTCGGATAAGTTGGTTCGGCCTTTTCATCTCATCGATAGAGTTGAAGCATTTTACGTGTGTGTATCTTGCGCGAGCTAAGTGGTTTGCTCGTATAAGACTTTGTGCGCGCTAAGTGCTTTAGTTTAAATATTGCAGGCGCGAGGCTTATCGTTTGAGTTCGTAGCGCGCAATTTCGAAAGAGCCGCGTAACTGAAGTTTTGCCATTTTCAAAGTCTATTTAATTTTTTTTGAATAATCTTGAGACAGACTCTATTGGAAGACTAAATTGTGAAAACTCTGTTTAAATAATTATAAAAAATCAATTTTAAACATAAAACGTTCAAATGTTTACTTGGATTATCAAACTCCATTTTTCGCATTTCGACATACGACTAAAATAAAAAGTATACAACAATGAAATTATATACTTCATGATTGAAAATAGTTTTTGAATTCAGCTGAAAAATATCAACAGCTATACCTTTTTCACTATAATCAAATGCGTGGTGTCAGTGTTCTCGTCGTCTGCTTTGTGTGTAATTGTTCGCACGAAGTTTACTCTATTTTGTTTTTTTTAAATTCAATGATTCTTTACGCAACAATGGAATATCGTTAAGTAGTGTATTTTTGCTTGACATTTAAAAATGTTGAGCTTACCAATTTGCGTTAAATCTTTGAGAAGGTGAGTTTTATTATTATAACCTAAAAATTAATGCATGCCTACGTTATATATGCGTTTAAATGTATGATGAAATCAAGAGTCATGTAAGTATAAATTCAATTGTTTGAAAATATACCAGTCGATATCATAGTCTATTGCAATGTAACGAATAATAAATTTTCCATTCAACATTTGAATTGTGCAGAAGAAGATTTATAAACCAAACTTATTGTTGAAAGGTTTCTAAATTCAAAGTTAAGGAGACATAAACTCTCAATAAGTATTATCAGATGCAAAATGCATTCAGCAGCATTAGAAGTTGAAAAAATTTCAGATATTGAGATTGTTCAAGTCGAAAGCACTAGCCTCACTTGGCTTCATAAGGTTGCACCTGCCTTTCCTATTGATGGCTCAAAGGTATTTTACTGATTACTATGAATAATTGTTTGATTTATTACTGACTGTATTGTATTATTTATTAAATATTTATTATTGACTGTAGATAAAAATAATATATGAGCCATCAGAATTCTACTTTACTTTGTTAGAAAAATGCAAATTTGCCAAAAAGAGAATTACACTTGCATCACTTTATTTGGGTACTGGAAAATTGGAGCAAGAACTGGTATGTATGTAATTTAATATTAAATAAATATTTGCTGATCAACCAATAATATTTCAGGTAAACTCTATTAAGCATGCTATTGAGAATAACAATGGAAATATTGAAGTAAATATTCTTTTGGATTATATGAGAGGTTCACGAGGAAAGTTTAATTCCAAAGAGATGTTAAAGTCTCTACTCAATGAGAAATACAAAAAATGCTGTCAAGCTTATCTCTATCACACTCCAAGATTGAGAGGCCTTTTCAAGACATTCATACCAGATCGTTTCAATGAATTGATAGGCTTACAGCACATGAAATTATATATATTCGATAACACACTCATCATCAGTGGGTAAGAATAAAATATCAAATCATTACTTTTAAATATCAATCAGTGTTAAATCTATACTTAAAATAATGAATTTTTATTTAGAGCTAATTTGAGTAATGACTATTTCAACAATAGACAAGATCGCTATTTTATGATTGAGGATTGCAAAGAGCTTTGTGATTTCTATTGTGATCTCGTACAAAACATTACAGATTTCAGCTTTCAACTACTACCCGATGGAAACACCTCTTTTAGTACAAAAGTCAAATCACATCCATTTAAAAGTCCAAGTAACGAGTTTACGCAGGAAGCAGCTGACAGAATACTTAATTTGTTTCAAACGGAAATGGATAAGCGATCGGAATTATACAAGACAGGTATGTCAATTTTTTTATCGATTAATATCATAATTATTTTTCAATTCAAATATTAATTTTTTAGAAATTCCGAAAGCCGATACGTGGATCTTTCCGTTAGTTCAGATGGGACAGTTGAACATTAGACACGACAGTGAAATAACTTTGAAACTTTTACAAACAGCTCCTTCAGGTGCAACACTGAGACTCGCCACTGGATACTTCAATCTTACTACTGAGTACAAAAATGCTTTGGTCAACGCTTGCCAAGCAGACTGCCATGTATTAACTGCTCATCCGAAAGCGAATGGATTTTTTGGTAAGCTACTCACTTGTGAATTAATGAACGTTTTTACGACGAATGATTTTTAGGTGCACGAGGAGTAGCAGGTGGAATACCGGCAGCTTACACGAAAATAGAAGAATCTTTTTTCAAATTATGCGAACAAATGCAGCAGAATAGCAGGATACGGTTGTGGGAATATGTCAAACCTGGATGGACGTATCACGCGAAAGGACTTTGGTATTCAATGCCAGGACAACAAAGGCCATCGTTCACTCTTATCGGCTCGCCTAATTTCGGTATTTACAAAACTTCAGTTTTATTAGTTATAATAATATAATTATTTATAATTATTTTTTTGTCTAGGATATCGTTCAGTTAAAAGAGATTTAGAAACGCAGATAGCAATTGCAACAAAGAACGAAGAACTACGAAATCGTTTGCAAAAAGAACAGGAGCGATTATTCGACTGTGCGAAATCAGTGACGGAAAGTACATTCTTACAAAAAGAACGTTTACCGCCTGCGTGGGTTCGAATGGCCGTGTTCTTTTTCCGCTATTATTTTTAGAATTGTTAGGTAAACATTCGAGTACTCCGTTGACCGAAGTAGAAATTTCAAATTAAAATAATTAAGAATTTTAGATTAAATTGTATATACTTCTTGTTATAAAACATGACGAAAAAAAACTTTACCTTATCATATACTTCTCAGAATAACTCTAATCCATTATGAGCATAGCAATAGAAAATCCTTTTAGTTGAAGACTAACGATTTACTAGTATTTTTGGTTTGAAAATAAAAACAATTTTCAATTATTTTATATTTTATTTTAATGTTTTTTTATTTAATGGAACAATTATGTCAACACTGAAAATGCTAATTTCACGTTCAATAAAGCAGAAAAATTCTGGTTCAAAAGTCTAGTTTTTACAGTTATTCCCTTCGCTGACAAAAACAATCGAATAGAAAAACGGTTTTGTATACCTGAAAAATTACAAAAAGCACGAATCATGCTTTATAATTATAAAATTTCTTAAAGCCAAAAATACATTGGCAGTGCATTTCAGTCGAGTAATCTGTACAATAACTTCATAACACGAAGCGAACACATAAATTAATTAAAAGTACTAGGTCACCGAGTCTGAAATAGCATGAAATAAGAGTTATAAATAGTATGTCCGTGCTATCCTGTAAGGAATATGATAGAAACCGATATGATGGTAGTTGTATGAAACTAGCAACAACGCAATCGATTTCATCGTTGATGATAAAAAATTTGGATTTGTCATAATTTGCACTCCTGTCATTTAGACGACAGGAATGATTCGATAAAAGATAGCTCAGCACTTTCGTGGATTCTGTTTCCAGAAGTGAATGCGACAGAGACGGTTTTATAGAATAGCGATGTTTCTGTGTGCGTTTACTTGTCATCAATAATATGAGTTTCCTCCTTGACAAAAAATTCTACTACTTCCTCATCCATATTCTTAGTGTCAGAGTCTAATTCATCAGTATCAATGTCTGAAAAAATAAATTAAAAAAATTAGTCAAAACGCTTTTATCGAATAAATTGAAGAAATTATAGTACATACTTTTACGCAATTCTAGACGACGTTTCTTCTGCTTGTTCCATTGTTCTGAGCGTTCGCTACGATAGGCGTCGAATTCCTTCATCAAACTATGTCTTTTCTCAATCAGTTCCTATTAAAAATTGAAGGATAATTAAATAAAATAAAAATCGTATATGCTAAATTATCATCGTACAGAATCACAACTGAATAACAACCTTGGAAGCACGTGTTAGTCGCATACGATCTTTGCTCTCAAATTGAGCATAGTATTTCTTCAAGTTCTTCTTGATGTCCTTGATCTGCTCTGTAGTAAGCAGAGTTGGTGGTCTTGGACGCCAGAGGAACTGATTGAATTGATTAAGATTAACTCGCTTCAAGATTCTACCTTGGAACGTCCACATCCAGTAACCATTGTCAACGCTTGTCTTCCAGCTTGACACTGATGTTACCACATAACTAATAGAGAAAAAATGTCATTATTGTTTGATTAATTTGACTGAGAATAAGAAAAGAATTAGAAATGCAATTTACCGGCCAGTTGGATCCCATTCGACGTCAGAAGTTTGGTAGTGATCTGTCAAGTTCATACTGGTGAAGTCATTAGTATCAATGAACTCTAAAGCACCAGACATGGTGGTAAGACCAGCCATCACGATGAACTGACCCGACGGAGACCAAAATAAGTGATTGCACGCTCTCTTTTCCAATTTTTCTATAAAGAAAAAAATTAGTAAATTGAATTTTTGAAAAAGATATTTCTAGCAAACTATTGAAACTTTTATAAAGACTTGAAAATTTCTTGTTGGATTTCGAAATTGAATTTTTTAGATTTATTATATCGAAAGTTTTCCCTCATAAAATTCGAGATGCAATAAAATGCAAGTACCAGAGTTTTGTCTTGATTAATTTTTAAGACATGTACTTGTATTACCTACTTTAAAATGTCTTTCTTTCCCGGTAAATTATGAAAAGAAATTTGAAAAAAATGCGCAATAAACTTCCAAAAGTAAAGAAATACTTTTTCTTATAAGTAATAATTGAATTATACGTAGGATAAGAATATTTATTAAAAATGTTCACTTACTAAGAAGTACCGGTCCATGACCACAGCGTACTTCATAAAAGCTAACGCTAACAGTCGGCACTTCGCCATGAATAATGGCAAATTTATTACCAATTGGTTCCCACGCGAAAGCATGTATTGGTTCTTTAATTTCAACACTATCGACGGGAATTAACTTCTCACGCATATGGAAGATTTCAAAGTTGTAAGACATTCCCTGAAAGTGTTGCAACGTTTGAAATTTACAACTCTCCTAAAAAAATATTTAAAAAATAGATTAGTGCACATTGAAAAGCAAAAAATATTTTGGTAGGGTTCATGATGTGATGCTCGTAGTTGTCCCAAAACTCTAGTTGCAGGAGTCACTTAGTTGGCACTTCTGCAAGTGTCAGTGTCGGTTTTTTTATATTATTGAAAAGCTGTACGCATCACTGAATTATGCAAGTTTCTTACGATTATTGAATTTTAAACATGACATGCTCAGAAGTAACGGAAATAAATATAATTCATGCATGTTGTACGTAACATAAATGTCATGCTGAGCTTTTTATTTTGATAATAAAAATCAATGAGTAATACAGTTGCTCTCAAATGAAAATGAAGTGTGAAATATATTATTATGGAATCTAAGAATACTTACGGTATATTTCTGCTCAGTTTTCTCTTTTTTCTTGGCGAAACGATCGACTTTCACGCAAAGATAGTCGCCAGACTTCTGCCAGTAAATCTTACAGTCGGCCACATTGAAGAGATTATTTTTACGAACTTCGTTACGGCTAATATAAAAAAATTATTAATGACATGTTTCAAAACTATGAATATTTTTAATTAGAGTAATTGTTATATATACCTAGGTATTTCCATCAGTGTTACTCGAGCAGGTACATCTTTATCTTCAGGTACCCAGAAAGCAATGACATTATCCGTTGGAGACCAGCTAAAATCTCTGATACCTTTGATTTTAATAGATTTCTTGTCCAGCAAGCCAAAGGACTGAAAAAAATTTCATATAATATTATAACAAATGTGTGATGTATGCATGTATGGTTTGTTAATCTAATACTGTTAATTATTTAGAGATAACATTTTTATTTTATTTCTTAAATTTATACCAATATACTTAATAACAAGAAAATAATTGATTCAACTATTCAAGTAAGTCGAAGAAAAACATTCTTTCAGGATATTTGAGAACTGATAAACATGCATAATTCAACAATAATTAGCTTGTATTTCTAAATACTTACTGGAGTTTCATAAACACTTAGAACGTCATCACCCATGTAAGCCACATATTGATCGTTGTGTGACCATCTGAAGATTGGCCAAATGTTAGGTCCTTCTGGATAGAAAGATCTTTTCTCTTGTCCAGAGAGAATATCCCACATAATAAGTCTCTTGTCTGTACCTTCAGCACGGGGAGCATAGGTGACAAGGTATTTTTCACAGGGTGAAAAATCAATACACTCAACACCACGCTGAATGAATTTGACCTGTTGTGTAAAAGTCGGACCACCCCATAAAGCCACTCCCAATTTGTGGAAAGTGGCCAAGTAAGTACCCAATGGTGACCATTTGACATAGGTGTCTGTCCAACGCTGTAAGTGAAATGTGCATTGATTATTCTATTTGTGAGACATAATAAAAATTATATAAGAATCTAGTGCTTAGTTATTGAATTTAATAAACATGCCAACTTCTAAATAATTTCTTAAATCTAACTCATAATTTTTATTATACTTACAAGACGGTCTTCCAGATTCACAGGTTCCGGTGCAGCATTCTGCCAGACTTGTACAGTAGTAGAACCAGGGTTACCAGTAACGATACAGAACTGATCATATGCATCTGGATCTAATAAATAACTGTGCAAATCCGAAGCAGCCTTGAATGGTTGAGGCTTGGGCGGCTCCCATTCTTCTGGAATACTTGCATATTTCTTGAAGTCAGTAAAGAGATTGACTTTGAAAGTATGAACCTTGTCGATTTTGTAGTTGTTGGCATTTTTTATTGCATTGAGAGCACCTTGAGGACTGCTATACTCGAAGAAGACATAGCTAAAACAGATTTTAAAGCAAGATTAAAATCAATAATTTGTTAATACATTTGACATCATGACAATAACAAGGCACGTTTCTTACCCCTTAGTCATCTCGGACTCGTCCTGGGGATAGAATTTGTTAACAATCTGCCCAAATTTTCCAAAGATCTTCTCTATGACAGATTGCAATTTCTCAAGTCGCTTGGGTTCAACCTTTGGGACGCCATCGATAACGATGACAGACTCAACTCCATCGGTTTCCGAGGGTTTTGTTGCGAGAATATCTCCCAAGAGCTCTGTGAAATGAAAATTGGATGAAGAACACACCGGTAGGAAAATGGTAACTTTGAGGTTAACTTAAGGAAAGAACCATATGCTCACCTTCGTCGTCGACATCGTCGACGAAGTCTTCACTGTCACTAAAACTTGGCGGTTCCTCGGTACCGTTGGTAGCTTCATCGTTGTTAGCTTTGCCAGTTTCCTCGGACTGCGCCGATTTGTCTGACGAGGACTTCTTCGCCATGGTCAGAGCACGATTGGAAAAGACCTTACCGTAGCGTTATTGGTGAGACATAACCTCAAGAAGTAGCGCGTGCAGCATGTGAATTGTTAGGTGTAGGAGTAGTAGCATGGAGTCTATACTAGACTATTCATATGTGAGCATGTGGCGGGAGAGGATCGCAGCGCTGTCGTCGATTTTAACATTGGATCTTATGGGAATTTCCAACTGTTACGCCGACGGCGACCACAGAACTTAACAAGACTTTTCCAGCTTTTCGAGGGCGCCACAATACATGCTCATAGTCTCTATAAATGGGAGGTTGTAGAACAACAGGGCATCATAACCTGATCCCTAATCGTTAATTTGTTATTAAGGCGGCAAACCCCACAACCGCCCCGCTTGTCAATGGCGTCACCATATCACGCTTTCCACAAGATAAAGGAAGTTGGGGTGAAATTACAAGGAATCACTTCCGAAATATTGTAGAAAAACAGCGAGTAATTAACAACGATAGGAAAATCTATTGAAAATCCATGCAATTAGATTTTTATTTAAAAAAAACAATTCCTAATGTCAAATACCTCTTAATTCGGTGCTCTTCGAACTGCATGAGCGCTGTAAAAGTTGTATATTAAAAAGAATTTTTCCTTTCGTTAGCAAAAAATCCGTGCAAATTTTCTGTGCTTTCAGTTTTTCAATCAGATCCTCCGATCATTAAATAATTATTTTCTTATTACGTTTTTTGACTGGTATAGTACAACAAACGAGCGGATCCGCGCATGCGTCACTGCACTTCTACTCCAGAACCGAAATAACGCAAAAAGAAAATAATTATTTGATAATGATTGGAGGATCTGATCCTGAAAACCGAAAGCACAAAAAAATTGTGCGTATTATTTTCTAACGAATGGAAAAATTCTTTTTAATATCCAACTATTACAGCGCCCACGCAGTTCGGAAAGCACTGAATTTGAGGTATTTGACGTTACTAATCACTAGGAGTTTTTCTGTAACATTTCCGGAGTGATTCTGAACAATTTCTCCCCAACTTCCTTTATCTCACTATACCACGCGCTCGTTAACCGCGTCAATTTCCGTTCACGTGCGTCACGCGTGGTATGGTTTTCTCGCCGATTTTTTGAATATAGATATGTATTTATTTGTATAATAATATACAAAACGAATGGATTTTTGTTTGCATTTTTCAGTAACAGTATTTACAGATGATTACAATCTATACTGATTATCGTATTAGCATTTCTTATTATTTGTACTTTGTTTTAATGTTATCATTTTCAAATAAATTATAAAATTAAAAGTATTTGTTTTTTTTTATTTGAATTATGTATTTTCGTTTGTCGTTGTAAAAGTCCATTTCTTTGTTTGTTTACACTGTGAAGATGTCAAAATAAAAACGTACTATTTAGCCCAATTTAAACTTAGGTAACCTTTTCCGTTTAATCCACACATCAGTTTAAAAAAAAATATACCATCTCGAAAGAATGGCGAATAAAGGGAAATTGCAGTTTGAAAAGCCGCAAGAAAACGGTGCAAGTTTAAGTGAGTTATATACGCACATAAAATCTTTTTGTAAGCATATATACATATCTTGCACACTTTTTGTTCCAGATCGTAAACTTTCGGCAACATCTCGTCTGTCACGAACGAGTCGACTCGTAAGTTCGCTCTCAGCTCTTTCTTACGGGAAAAGTTTAGCTTGGAGAGGCGGTGGTGGTGATGGCTTCAAAGTAGGTGAATTTTTCCTTTTTCTCAAATTCAATTTATCGGTCTTACACTCAAACTACGATCGCTCAGCTGCTCTAAAGTTTTCGAGTAAAAATCTCAAGATCAAAAGGCAAACACAAAGTTAGGAGAGTGTTATTCCGGAGAGCATATTACTCGGCACTCGATAATTATGAGATAATTATCTCTCTCTCTCTCTTTCTCTCTCTCTCTGCTCAATCTGATTAAATTGCTCGCGAAAACTACTCTCTCTCACTCTCTCTTTTTAACACAATTGCGTCCCATTCAATTTCCCAAAGGTACCGAAGTATCAAAATAGCTATCGTCTTGAGCCTCACTTACCGTTCTGCTGCGAAATTTCCGACCGAATCCTCGCTCAAGTAATGACCAGTGCCTTTGCTGACATCACGTACAATCCTGAATCTTCGGTGATGCTTTGCCGCGAAACCGCCGCTGATATTCTTGACCGGCTTTACAAAAAAACTCATTTCGACCGGTACGACATGTATACGTGCATCCGAGCTCACGCGTCACAAATCAATCACTTGGTTGCAGAGTAAAATACATCGTGATGATCACGATGATCGAGAATGCAAGCCAATCCTTTGAGTGTGTACACTCCAGGTTGTGGGACGTCGATCGCGACTCCTATTCCATGTTCGTGGTTGAGCAACGCTCGTTTTACGCCTACGGCACTGTTCACGCTATCAACTACGAGTAGTTTTTCTCCTGGGTGTCGTTGTCGAATAAAAGCGTACTCTTTTCAATTTTTTGTTTATTATTATTAAATTAATATACTGTGTTTTTTGTATATATATTTATATATATATATATGTATATAACAGCGACAAGTACATAATGTATCGTTATGATTAGGTAATGATAATCATAGTCGAAGATCATTCCGATTACCAGTGAAATTAAAGCGGCAAAGTATCATTCTCATTCTCGTAATAATCGTCATATCACAAACATCCATTGTCTGAGTTTTTCTTTTTGTTTACTCTCGATCATTCTCGCGTTAAACGTTATATGTATAGTACTTTTTTTGTTGCCTCGTATAGATACAGGGATACAGAAAAATAATACCTCGCCAACGCAGTGGAACGTGCCGATAGTGTCTCAGTAAGCTTCGCCTCACGACTCCCTCGCTACTTTGGTTTTTGTCAATCGCTTGGAAAATAATTACATCGAAGGGGTGAATTGTTTGTCGAACGTCGCGTGGATTCTTGAACGCGCCTACAATTTTGCCCATGCACTTGGTCCATTTATTTGTTTTTTTTTATGCTTGTTTATACGCATGCTCTCGTTGCCCACTTCCTCTTCGTCTGCCGCTTTATGTACAAAAGTGTGTATATGTGTGCACGACCGTTACGTGAGAAGTGAAGGCGAGCACACAAGAACGTTCCACCGTGTTGCCGACTGTCGTGGAAATATCGAAGATTCGCAATTTCACTTTGACCCCCCCCCCCTAAGTCCATCGTGTTTCCTTAGTGTTTTTTTTATCTTTTCTTTTTTTCTTTTTGAACACACTCGTATGTGACACATTTACAGTAAATAACAAGACTTCACTCGCTGCCCGATTTCCGGAGAAACGATTGCCAGAGAAGAGAAACACAGAGCAAGAAACTAATATTTCGAAGGGAAAACAACACAAACCATCCCATAATATTAAAAATCTCAACGTTTGTCAACGAATAATACGATAATATGAAGTACGTTAACTATAATTCAACATTCGTGTTCTTCCTTTATTGTGGCTATATAAAAAGATATAATGTGCTGTATTGCTTGGATAAAGTTATTTTCTGTCAACAAATGAACACGTTGTCTTAAACGATTTGGCAAGTTGTCTTTTTTCCGTTTAGAAAGATATAACTAAGGTCGAACAACAAAGGACAGATCCGTTATTTGTTTAATATATACAATATTAAAAAGGATTGAATACAGCGATAATAAAAAATTGCGCTTTGAAACTGTGTGCGGTCTTTTGCAATTCAGACTTTAAAAAATACGTGGGAAAGAAAAATTGTCATTGCACAATATCCCATCTACGTAATGTCGATGGCGGCCGCGCAGTTTAAATAAAAATCGAACAATCACCTCGCTATTCCGTTTTATTATTCCCGTACGCATTGCGAATAAATTGATAATGCTATTACAAGTACATATTGTGATGTTAGCCGATTACAAGAAAAAATTCGTGCTCCGTGGTCCGTAAAACAAAGCACGAGAAAAGACGAATAGTTAAGTGCATTGAAAGAAAGCACTGACCAATACCATTCGTCGTTTACATTTCCTCGAAGTCTTTGTTCCAATACTTTCGTTTGAAGGCTCGATCGGCTTTTATTTGTTCTTGTTAAAATGCAACCCCGTTACGTGCGTGATAGTTTGTATACGTCGAAACGAATGAGAGAAACGTAGAGAAAAGCTCTTTTCCGAGCATTGTCTTACGGACTGCACAGCCAGTGACCAAGTTGAACAGTGACGGCCCTAAGAGTAAAAATGCTAGTCGTGGCACAATTGATTCTTCCTTTTTCCTCTCGTACACCCTGTCGCGCGCATATTTACCTCGCCCGTCTACGACACCATCATTGTCATCCAGCAAACTCGCTAGACGAAGCAATTTGACGCACATACTACTCGGTAATCGTTTTTTTTTCTGTACTTTATAATAAAATACACATTCACGACATTACAGTATGATTATTCATCATTGGTTTTTTTAATTATATTTTTTCTTTGGAAATACTTAAACAACGTTGCCGCGTGTACTTGTGTGTGTTTCGTGTTTTTATGTCTGTGCGTGATAACCTACAAATCGCTAATACCACTTCATCACCGGCTTGCACATTATTCGTAACGTATTTAATCTTAAATTATCTGGATTTTTCCTCGTCGTTAAATCGTAATTCCGTATATACAGTCGCAGACAAAATCGATTAAGAGTTTTCTTTTTCTTGATATAATCCGCAATCGCGCGCGCAATCATACACATTCGCATGCATGCAAAGTCCGCACGAATCATTATTTTGTTTTTTTTGTAAAAAAAATGCACAATCGAGATCATCTCGTTTTGTTACCGCAAGTCTTTAAACCCTTCGTGGAGCCTTTCCTCGTTGCTGACAAGTCTTTTTTCTGGCTTATTTGATTTCACGTCTGTTGTTGTTTTTTTCTTTACTCCCACCATTATACGTTTAAATGTCATGGCCATTCTTTCATCATTCATGGTTTACAAGTTATATACGCTTTTGTAATCCTACAATATTATTAAAAGTCATACTTATATGTATAAGGTATGTAACAAGAATCCACAAGTTTTTGTTTTGTTATCTTTACTTGATCGCTACTTTGCATTCGCTTATTTACAAGACTATCCTCTCGTTCTCCTCTACATTTTTTCCGTTTTATTTGCCTTAAATGTGATCGAAAGACTTTCGTTTGCTTACTGCGCCGACATCCTTCATCCGACTTTCTCAAAGGACTGCGGATATTCGCTCTAGAAACAACGCACATTGTCTTTTTCTTTTTGTTCATTTTTCAAGTAAAGTACTTTAGTATATACCTAAGAAATATGTACATTCCTTCGGGCAAGATTGAATTAAACCCTATTTCATCACTTAATTAGATCGACAATGTTTGTTTGTTTATTTATTTTTATTTTTTATTTTTTTTTGTAAGGCATGATTTCTATGTCGAGCGCTGACAAATGGTTTCTTCGCAAGAGTTCTCTTTCAGCTTGATTTTTCAATTGGCAGTAGCGAAATCAAGTCAAAGCTAAGACTTTCTGATCGGACAGTTTTTCTCTTAAATGACTGCAAAATCGAGTCGGCATCAATTGTCCTCGCAATAACAACGTCGAAGCTTCATTTATTTAATTTTCGGATACCTCTCATCGTGCGTCTTTTCCGAATAACTCGATCCACAATTCACAATTCACCGTTGCACACGTCAAAGACTACACATTTTCAGGCAACTGCATGATAGTCAATGAAAAGGTCAAACATTCGAGCTAATTCAGCTACTTTCTTGGCGGGTTTAAAAAAAGACCTATTCACGAGGACATCAAGTTACACACTACGAACGCTAATACTTGCTTTTGTTGAAAAATAGTCATATATATGTACGCATAGAAGATGCAATTCGAAGAAAGTGAACTCGTCTATCACATTATCCCGACAAACCCATCAAACGCAATGCAGCTTATCTCGGTTTAAGAAAAGTAAATGAAAAGAGAATGGAACACGAAGAGAATGACCCGAGTGGCTTTGGACCCTGCCGTGAATCCTGCTGGCCGTGACGAGGGTCAGTTTTCGAAGTCGACAAACGAATGAAAGACGAGCGTGAAGGTAAACAACGGGGCCGAACGGCTGCACAGCGCGCTCGACCGGTGGCCGCGGCCCCGTGTGTCATACCGGCTCCTCCCGCTTGAAATTGATATTCTGCGAGGCGCAAAAGTCGCGCGTGAACGGCACGCAGTTGAACAGTTTGCACACCTCGCACTCGTACATGGGCACGTTGTAGAACAAGGTCAGCAGCAGACCGAACAGGCCCACGATCAGGATGACGCAGATCCAGATGACGAAAATCTTGCGCTGGCGATCGTAATGGCCGAACGAGATGAACGGCATGAGCGCGTAGGCCGCCAGGAAGCCGAAGATGAAGCCGAACAGGTGGGCGTAATTGTCCACCCACGGCAGTATGCCCAGGAGTAGCAGCCCGAACAGGATCGTCATCAGTTTCATCAGCGCTCTACGCGGGTACTTGAGCATCGGCCAGCAGTGCAGCACTTCGACCACCAGCGTCGCTAGCAGTGCAAAGTGCGCGCCAGCTGGACCGACCTAAATTCACGAAGAACAAAAGACAACGCGCGTGATCGATACTCTGCTTCGGGCCGATCGTCCTCGGTTGCGCACACTTACGTCTGCCCTGTACGGCACGAAGATGGCACTGGCAAGGTTGCCCGCCAGGGCGCCGATGAAGTAGATGAGGCCGATGCGTATCGACCCTGTCAGCTTCTCCAAGTCTCTCATCAGGAAGTACTGCACCAACAGCGTGATCGCGATGTGGAGGATCCTACGTGCAAGGAAAAACCGTTGGATATGGCGTCAGGAGTCTCGGAAGAGCTCGGCGAGCAACGCAAGAATTACCCGGCGTGAAGAAACGTGGTGGTGAATAGTCGGTAGAACTGATCGGGCCACTCGGGATTGAGAAACGGTATCATGCCGCAGACGTCGTGGAGGCACTCGACTTGCGAGCACAGCGAGGCCTCCTCGTGAAAGTAGCCGTGCACGAAGTCGCAGTACTCTTTGGTGGTGATCCGACAAGTGCCGTGGATGCCGATGCAGCAAGGGTGGCCGATCACTTCGCACACCATGTGCTCTGCCATTTTGTCCTTGTAACGACCCACCGGGAAATTGGCGTTACCGTGCAAGCTTGACTCCTTGCTCCTGTTGGATGGATACAAATGCTAACTGCCAGTTTCTATTTTTGTCTCGTTTGCCTATTCGGACGATAAGCCCGGGATCTCTCTTATAATCCACGAGCAAACGCGCAGCTTCAGCAATGGGCATTTCCTCGTCGACGGGGATTAATGAGATCATTATTTGCTAGGCACAATAGCATTGACCATCCGGCTTAGCGGGACAAGCAGCTAGCTCTCAGCCTTTGGATTCGCAAACATTTACCTAAAACGCTGGCTGAAAGGATTCATCTTCCGGCAGATTGGCCACTTGGTTATATCGTCGGGCCACTCGTACGGCGCTATACTGGCTGGCGCGTCGCAGAATTTCGGATCAAGACCGCAAACCGAACCGCTGATTCGGCCGCCCGGTCCACTGTCAGCTGGTCCCCATTTCTTCCATGTCGATAACTTGTCCTATTTAACAATATTCGTCATTTAGCCCTTTGCTTTGCATCGCGACAATGAAAATAAACGTAACGTCGGAATATCGAAATTTGTAACGACAGGTGCAAGAAAATAAAAATTGCCAATAAAACTACGATGCATGCACCATTTCAGAAATGTTGTTCTCATTACCGTAGATGTCGAACTCATTCCCCGGACCAGTTGGCGTTAAAAGAGAAGAAAAGACGTTCACATTATCAATATGATCACGATGATGGAATATTCGTTGCGATGTTTTCGAATGACATTAATCTTGGAGAAAAGAAGAATTCTCAAGTCTCATCAAGTATACTCACTGAGCACTCGGTTTTGCTCGACTGCACGCAGCCGGAATCGTCGTTTCTTATGCAACACGCCGTGTCACGCTCCTTTTCCCGCCAGACGTCGATCTCCTTTAGAATTTTTATGTCCCTCCGCATACACGGCGCAAACTTAGCACCCAGGTGTATCAGGTCCGCAGCACGTGGTCCTATCCAAAAGTTGGATGGTTCTTGATATTCGACTTGCTGTAGCGACAAACTGGTCACCAGCACCTGGAATGGTCACGGACGAACGTTTAATGCGCGTAGCGCTATTGCCATGGAGGGAAGGGGAGGGGGAGAGCAACTTCGGTTTGCGAATAAATATACGTATGGGCCCGCGGCAGCGGTCGGTCGAGCGCTCGGAGCAAGCGTTACAGCTCGGTGAGCGCGAATGGCTATTAATTCGGGCGTCCGCGCACACCCAAATGGATTGAATTTCCGAAATTGGCAAAATGAGTAACGGCGTACGCGAGCCAGCAGTCAGATAAAAACAGAAGCGTTCAACGGCACATTGCAACGTGGTATCGCGCGATTTGTCAGCCCGCCGTGAATCCGATTGTGATTTACGCGCGATTGTTCGTCCTCGTTAGCGCGCCACCCCTATTCAGAGAGCCAACTTACCAGGCTTGAGCTGTGATGAAGATCGAAGCCAACCGGTCCAAAGCCGTAGCACGCCAGCGAGATGACAAGAATGAGGACCTGCACGGTCGTGATCCAGTAGGTGAAGTAAGGCCGATGATCGTCGATGTCGTCCAGCTGTCTTCTCACGTCCGGCTGCTGAGCGACGCTTTTACGAAACGACCTCCTACGTGTATCGCCAAACATTTAAGGATCTTCGAGTACGTAAACAGCCGTGCAGTTTGATGGCTGGCATTTGCATCGCGTTTGAGCGACAAATTAAAGAACGGAGGAAGAAAAAAACAAACCTTCTCTACGAATGGCCGCCGCTCTCAAGAGTCAAACGAATAATTAAAGAAGCAAGCAGTAGAGAAACTTGTTTGGTCTGGATTAAACGAAGCGAAAGACCGCGGGAGGAAAAAAGAAGAGGTAGGAAATAAAAAGAAAAGTCGGGCGCGGTCGGAAACGACGAAAGGAGAAAAAAAGGATTATCGGAGTGAGCTACGAACTGGTAATAAATGCACGCCAGTTGAAAAATGAATAATAAGAAAATGGAGTGTAAAATGACGTGTGTGTGCGTGACAAAGACGAGATGTACTAAAAACCGTCCGCCCAAGTAAAGGAGCAAGAGATGAGAGTGGCGTAAAAAGTATGTCACGTGAAGAGAGAGAGAGAGAGAGAATTCGTGCGAGGAAAAGTGGAGCGTCGATTGTGGGAGTAAAACGCAAAAAAGGGGCTAAGTGCCCACCACCCTCTCCCTCCGAAAAAAAAAGTGAGAAAGAGAACGGGCAGGTAGGCAAAAAACGGAGAGAAAGAAACTTTTTTTCTCTCCATCTCATGTTCTGGTCGTCATGATAATAGTATAATCAAATGGAATCAAATATCGTCTTGCAAATTACGTATAGAGAGGTAGAGAAAGAAAGAGAGAGGGGGGGGGGGAGAAAGCGCGCTGTCAAAGCGGCTTTTCATTTCTAAAGCTCCTTTAGAGCCCATTAGGACATGTGCGCCTGCCGGTAACTTTAAAAGCTCCTTATATTATCCTTTTAGTCGCTTTTTTATATTCCCCTTTCTCTCTTTCTTTTTACGTTTGCAGCCTAAAAGGCTAAGGCACAAATATATAGCTGGATGTCTCAATTAAGAAAGAAGCATACCCGAAAAATCGTCCAACAATGCCCATGCCGTATTGCCGCCGGTTGCTATTGTCGAAGACACGGTCGATGGTCGACGGTGAAATTCTCTTGCCTCCGAAAGCTGCCTTTGTTCTCAGGCCAACGTTGTCTGCTATGTGAATCGGGTACACGTGCTCTTGTTGCTGCTGTTGCTGCTCTTGTCGCGATCTGCAAAATAATTAATTCTCTCCGTTAGCTTGACTTTTTGTCGTCGGCGACGTCGCGGAACGAATACTCCGCCTGTACAGCTATGTACCTTAAGATATAATGGTCCCTTGTCGGGATGGCACGAGCTTGTCGTCTCCCTTGTCCGTCGATTGTTACTCGCTCACCGCTTTCCTTATCACTCGCCATCCCCGAAGCGCCCCTGTTTCGAAATAATTGGTCTTGTTCAACCTCCTCTTTCGCTCTCGTGCGCCTTTGACGTTATTGTGTCAACTGTTTTCGCGTTTTCCGACAAAAAGGCATTCGATAACCGAAGACTCACCAAATCCTCGTCAATCCTTCGGCTCCGTCAACGGCAGAAGTGCCAGCCACTGCCGCTGCAGCGGAGGTAGCTCCGTCCTCGACGGTCAAATCCACGGCCTGCAGTTCGTCGGCAAGATCGCCGACGGCCGGTGCCGGCAGAGCTGCTGGCACGGGCGACTTGAAGAAAGTCTCCTCTTCCTCGTCCATGCCAGCATCCGTGATGGCACCCTCGTCGCCGGTCTGCAACTCGTCCGCGTGAACGGCGCTCGGCGGAAAGCTGCGAGACTCGCCAAGGATGGTCGTGTGCTTCGACGGTTGTTGGCGTCGCAGTCTCTGTCGAGCATTTTTGCCAATGAGCAGACGCACAGCTCTGGTATTTGTGCGCGGAGAGACAGCGCGAGAGCCAGAGAGGACTTGTCTTTCTTTTTCTTTATTTTATTTCTTTTTCGGTCGTCGCTGTCGAGCGCCCGTACGTGTGCGCCTCGTACTGGCCACTCCGGCACGTATGCGTAGTTTATAACCGCGGCCAATTTATGGACCATTGCCGCGCTCGCGGCGCTTTATAGGTCTGTTCTTCGGATTTCGCGTGCGCGTCCGGCCGACCGAGAGACTACTCGCGCCACTCGCGAGCAAGAATAACGCTGCTTAACAATAAGCGATTCTCGTAATTTCAACGATCATTTCCTCGGGCACCTCTTCTTACGCGGTCTTTTTTTCGACGTAAGGCCACCGCAACGCCAAGTCATCGATTAACCTACCAGCGGTAAACAACGTACACGCGGGCAATTAGGGCGCAAGGGAGATTTAGTGTCGTCTAGCTGCTGTCGCTCGTTCCTCTCCTCGCAATTGACCTGTTTTCCAAAGCTGATACTACTCGCAAGCTTGCTCGAGTGAGAGAGGCTTGTAAGTTTCGCCTTTAATAAGGAGCAACCCAGCCGACAATGCTGCACGGCGAGCTCGCTGAAACTTTGAAGTTTGCCTAAAGCGAGGCTTCTTTCCAAGAGCCAGAGAGAGCGAGCTAGTTTGGGAGAGTTGCGCACCTCTCCGCGCATTAAAATGCAACGTAACGTACCGCGAGACAGAGAGCGAGGACGAACTCGTCGATCGAACCTTTTCGCGCTCCTGTCGTCTCGCGCGCGACAAGGGCTTTCGGCGTTCTGGCGGAGGCGCACTCTTTTTGCTCGGCCGACGACAGCGCTCCGAACGCTAGTTTCCGCTAAACGTGCGATTGACTCGGGTGACCCCGTCAAAGAAATGCATACACGTAGGTAAGCATGGAAGATCTCTCAAGACGAAAGGGAGCACGCTCATTAAAATCAAAGCTCGGTACCTGTGTGCGCGCGCACGCGCGAAACCTCGTTAGTCTAATGGACGAGCGAGCACGCGATGCAACGCGCTGTACGCGGCTGCTCGCTGAATTTCTCTGAAAAGCGCTGGATATCAAATCCATTATACTTACGTCGACCACATATTGCAGCGCAGATAGTGCCATCCTTGGGACCGAATCTTTCCTCCTTACCGGCCTTTGCCACTTCCTCGATATGACGGACTGCAACAAACACACGAGGCGAGTAGAGAAAGCGGGTCAAGAGATGGTTCGGCGGGCTACACGAAGGGGCTTTTGCACGAGCTGCCGCGCCGAGTAATCACGACTCGCACGCAAAAGAACGAACCAAGCTGGAAGACAAGGGAGAGAGGGAGAGAGAGGAGTCCCTGATGATTAACGTAACCGCTCGACGACCCTAATTTTCACAAAGCCATGCTCCGATTGTGAATTAGAGCTGTTTCTTTGTTTCCTCTTCGCCTCTCGTTCTTCCTTGCCTGCTTTGTTTTGCCTTCTTTGTCGAGCGTGAAAACGCGCGTATCTGCGAGACATGACAACTCCGTTTTGCCCATCGTGCGGCGTGAACAAGAGCTATTTCCTTCGAACAGCCGTGCTCTTTGAAATTATTCGTTTTTATACGATCCTTTTGGACTCCGAAGCATTGACTGATCGTTTTCATTGGAAAATGTCGTTACTTCAAAGCGTCATATTATTTCAAAAATCTACCGGAAGATCGAAATTGGATGGAAAATTAATCGTTATCGCGAGTACTCGGCGCCGAAAGGTCAGAAAATCAGATAGTACTCACATCCGAAATATCCATGGAATCCGGCACGTCCTTGGTAATGTCAGGATCCGGGGCCCTGTACTCCGGCAACAAAGCGCCATACTTCCTCGAAGCCATGCGTCGTCGGCGATCCAGCCACTTTTGCTTCTCGCTCGCCTCGGTCTCCTCGTCCACGCCGAAGAACGTCGCGGTTTCGCGCTTGATGTAACTGCGAAAGCAAGCACACCAGCCGCTGGACGCGCGCTCGAATGGATAAAAAACAAATAGGACAAGACTCGCTCACTTCTTGATGGCCTCGGTCCTGCTCTGGCTCCTCCTGAGCTTGTGGGGCCTGTCGACCGTGGCACTGCCACTGACAGCGGTGCCGCTCGACAGTTGCGGTCTTGGTCCAGCTGGCGCGGAGACGCTTCGCGAGACGTTGGGCATCGAGGAGCCGGTGCACGCCGCCGCCGTCACCGTCGACTGCGTGACCGTGCTCGCGCCGGTTATCGTCGTCGCTGTCGTGGTCGCCGATTCCGCCGGCGTCTCTTGGCTCGCGACCAACGACGGGTAAAGCGCTGCTGCCGCATTTGGTGCGCTTGGCTCGTTGTCCGCGGCACCACTCGCCGAGGCTATCGGCGCGCTTGTCGCGGTTGCGTTCAGCGACGTTTGCCTGCGACAATCGTATTCGCCACTCGGTTAGTTCGCTTACATTTGTTATTCGCGACAAGTCCACATCCCATCGTCGGCAAATGCCGAAAGTAAACGTTGTCCCTGCGCTATCGAAACAGGAAGTAAAAAACAAGTGTCGTGCCCTCTTGATCCGCGCATTCTCAAACGGGGGAGCTTTGAATGTTATCCCAGCGTCTTATCTATTCATGAGCGAACAAGAGGAAAGTTTACCCAACGGCTGTGCTCGTGAGATATGGGTCAGCAAGTTTTTTCGATGCCTGTCAATACTACAGTGATGTTTCTTCGATACAGGATTAGTAAATTGCTCTTATAGCATCAAGTAGCGCCCCCGCGGAAAAGTGCTGTGCGCAGAGGGAAAAGAAGAGTAATTAATAGGAGTCGAGTAGGTCGCGTAGAAAGAGACGTACGCGGAAAATGAATGAAAGAACGCGAGCGCGGGCTCGGATCGACAAAGAGCCAAATGAAAAAGTAATTGAGGCTGAAAGAGACAAAGAAATTGGAATGGAGCTTGAAAAAAAAGAAGAAGGAACCTTGAGCAGATTAAAGTGTACGATAAGTGGGAAAGTAAATATCATTCGCGAATATTCGGCTTTAACGCTTTTCATCTTTTTCTTTTTTCTCTTCGAGCGGTTTGCGGAGATTAAGAAAAGTCGCCTGGACGATGCTGATTTTCGATTTTCACAAAGCGCCAATGTTATGAAATTTTATGAATTTTACGCTCAAAAAATGACGCGATTTTCCCTCAAATTTAACTGATTTTTATTTCATGGACGGAACAACGTTAATATGTCTTACTTTGCGAAGCGACGAGTCAATCAATTGAAAATGTTTAATCAATTGAAATGCAAATAATTATATCAAATGGATGGTTTATCGGTGAATTATATAGATGATCTATCAGCTCGAATCCAATAACATGGATTTCGGTGGAAATTAACATTTTCGGAGATGGCAAATAAAAGGTGCGCGCGTATTTTCAATCATTCGCGCGGCAAAATACTTTCGATTGCGCACACGGCACGTAACGTGGCAATATATGAGCTGCGAACGCCACCGGAAATTAAACCCCCTCGCGCCCCATAGTTGCTTGGATTTATTGGCTGACACGCGCCAGATATTCAGACAGAGGGAGAAGCTTTTTGCGTCGTAGGCTGCAGCTTTTTTGCCTAGCATGTATGCGCCAGCATACGTCCCACGCGCAGCCTGTCTTCGTTAGCCCGGTGGCATGTTGCAGCTATTGAAAAATTAAGATAAACACGCGTAAAATCCTCATGAGCGATATCAGGATTAACGGGCAGTCCTGCTGAAACTGGCAAAAATGTATATCAATCAATTACGCGTTACTCTTCAAAACCACATAATTCCCCATCGCAAATTTTCGAATGTTGTTTTTTTTAGGTATTCTCTACAATTTGTCATTGTCACTTGCTAATTAGCCAAGATACTCTCTCTCTCTCTCTCTCTCTCTCTCTCTCTCTCTCTCTCTCTCTCTCTCTCTCTCTCTCTCTCTCGCGTCTGATATCATGACATATTGTTAGTGCCGTGAATGGTCCAAGGGAAATAAAATACACGCTTTTAATTAAGACGCACCTTGCTTCAAAGAAAGCCGAGAAAATAACCTTGAGACTTGTAACGAACTCCCAAGAGAGCTTTCGCTCGTTCGAGTTTCGCTAATGATCATTAAACTTTCGCGCGCTCGGAAAGTTTTTTTTTTTTAGAGAGAGAAGTCGCCAAATATCATCTAGAGAATGATACCGGCGCCCGAGTCCAAACGATCTAATCGCGCGCGACTTCTCGCGGTGAAAAAGGAAAAAAAACTGAAGACAAAGCTCTTCTTTCTTTGTTTTCTATGCACGTCAAAGCAGATATATACTACAAAAGAGATTTCTTTTTCGATACGTATATTTTCTTGTCGATCGCGTTTTTTTTTTTTTCTTTTCTTTCTTTTATTTGTCGTCAGAGAAAGAAAATTCGATACCGCGCCAAATATGGACGTGTGTACGGATTCAACTTCCATTTTTGTTCATCCCGGGTTTTGTTCTGCATGCATGTCTCCCGACACTGCCAAAACATATGACGTGGATGCAAAAGTTGAATTGGGTGCGGGTATATAAATTTTTTTTATTTGCTGATTTTGGAGCGAGGTGACATTTATCAATGAATATGCTGTTCGATTGGGGGATTTGATCTAGAACGAAAGTTTCGGAAAAAGGAAAAAAAGGAGGCCTCCTCGAAAAGTGTATTTGGCTACAAGTGGGGAATGGTAGATTGTCTCTCTCATAGTCCATTGATATAAGTATCCTTTAGTCCTTTAGCCGAAGAAAAGGGAAGTTAAAGCAATACCCAGGATAAATAAACCTTCATTTCTTCGAATCTCGGGAGTATACGCTTCACAGAAGGAAAAAGGAAAACAAAGGAAAAGGAGAGAAATTCCATTTTACGAGCGGAGAGAGAGAGAGAGAGAGAGAGAGAGTAGAGAGAGAGCTAGAGGGACCGTACCGAATAACTAAATTCGTAGCGCATATAAAAGAAGGCCTTTCGGCTTTCGAATCACGCGCCAGTCAGCTTCCTCCGCTCTGAGATAAAAAAAGACTCGACAATCTGTCCTTATTACCCTTTTCGTTCATTCTTTCTTTTTTTTTTTGCCGAAGCGGAAAAGCGCGGAAAATTGGTTATTTAGAGATTGAAGGGGAAGAGAGAGAGAGAGAGAGAGAGAGAGAGAGAGAGAGAGAGAGACAAAAAGGGAGTTACTGGGAAATGGTTTATTATCGGTTTTCTCTCTTTCTCTCTCACTACAGTTTCCTGATCCATTATGGGCGCGAGATAGCGTGCGAGTGCGCGGGTATCGATTTATCCCCGTCTTTTATTGCATTCTCCGCAGACGAATCTTCCGCTTTCGGCGGCGCTGGTCTGTCATCTTTTTCATGAGCTTTGTTTCTGACATTAGACGCGAGAGAGATTTACGCTCGGACGACAATTTTGATTGGTACTTGGGCGAATTCCGCGTTGAATGCGGTGGCTTGGCAACCGCCTAAAAATCCATTTTGTATTCAAACGATACTCCAAATTGGCGCTTACACTCGAATGTTTGCTTATTTCATCGGGTCCCGTGCCAAATTTCATCTCGTTTGTTCATCTCGTTTGATCAAATCCAAAGCGAAATTCAAAAGTTCTATTCTGGTGCACCGCAAAATGAGCGCTAAGTTCATTAATTTCGAATGTCAGTTACCAGTTTGACGAATGAAAAGCAGGTTGCCGAAGCTGCAAATTAAAAGGAAAAAGCCAAACGTTCAAATAAATTTATTCATCTTGTTTGTCATTTAAAATGCTAATTACTAGACATCCCAAGAATCTTTCCGACGGGCACGGAAAAAATTGATGAATTAAGCTCGCGAACAACTTGAGAGACCTAAGCGACCCAAACATTGAACTGTCCAAAGTACAAGACCGAGCACGACGGCTCGCATACGCCACATTATTATCATGAAGTAAGAGAAAAACAGCGATACGAGATATGCAAGAGGGATGGTAAAGAAATTCCCTGCAAACGGCATGCCACGAGCCGCGAGAGAGTGAAATGGCTGTGCGAGCGGTGGGCGGCGATTGACCCCGGCTTCGTGACCTGACCCGTCGTTCGGCAATTCTCGGCAAGCTCGCCTCGGTAAAGCTCGTGTTTCGACCCGTCGCTGTCGTCGTCCCGCCGTCGCCGCGCGCGCAGCCATGAGCCGTTAGCAACAGTTGACGATGCGTCGATATGTATATTCTTCCAGCCTACCCCCCTTTCTAACGATTATTCTTGTACGTTATTCCCTCTCCGCTTGACCGTTTCGCCTCCTTATTTTCGTTAATTTTCTGCTCTGGCCGAACCCTCGTACTGCTTGTCCGCGATGGACGAGCTTACGAAAGAGTGGCTAACCCAGTTGTGGAGCGGTCGTGTCATTTTTTCTTTTTCCACGGGACTTGCTGGCCTGGAAAACTCGTCGGACGTTCAATGATCGTGACTTTTTTCTTTCCATTCCCGAAAATTAGATCAACCATGCGGCAATTGAACGTATCGCGCTGCTTTTCTAAGAAGGGCGCAGGATGAACTGCGACACGCCTCGAAAAATTTTCCCCTTTGATGGCTCAAGTGAACGTAATTTTCAAGTGTCTCGTTCGTATTTATACTCGAGTATCAAAAGAAAAATCTAGCGAGAATATATGCGCGCGAGACGATCGTTAAGCCCGCGAGAAAATAAAGTGGGTAAATGCACGAAGCTTCGCATAAATCGGCGTCTTGGGAACAAAGAGCAAACTTTTTTATTCGTCTTCGTTGGAATTAGATTGAATATTTAGCAGAGCACGTTCTCGAGCCAGTTCTCCGATTTATTGTTTCGCGATTGGGATCAAACAACAAATATTTCCAGAAAGACAAGTATAACCCGCGCGGGTCGAGTATTTTTGTCGAGAAATACGAGGTGGGCGATCCTTCTTAACCTTCGTTCGACACACTCGTACTCCTGTCTGACCGTGCCTGCATCGTCGAATTTCAAAAAAATCCCCACACACCGTGACAAAATTTATCGCTAGATTATTAAGCTTCTCGCTCGATATTTCATTAGCTGTATTTTCAAAAAAAACAAAGAAAAAAACGTAATATTTCGAGCCTTACATAAAGCGTTTATTTAACACGAACTCTAGGCTCACAAGGGCCAACAGAAGGTAACAGGAGCAGCAGTAGAGGGCGCGGAAATTGCGTTAACTCGTTGAGTTAATAAAACTTAGCCGCTGCCGTCGTCGTGTCGTTTCGGTATAATAGCGTTGAAAGTCATCCCATCGAATTTCTTACTTTTTTTCCCTATCTAGGTCGGCAGACACGAGCAGGAGTAATTACACGCACATCTTTCTTTTTTTTTCTTTTTTTTCATTCCCCCGCGCAGCTTGTGAAAATTAAAAATCAAGCCGTGCGCGATGGGAGGTCAGCCGCGATGAAAAGCTTCT